AAATCAATGGTAAAATTTAGTTTCCAAAGATAAGTTTAGAAACTATTGCAAAAACAGTTATTCAAACTACAATTCTATATACAACTCGATGTACATATTTTATTATTGACATAAAGTCCACTCCCCAATTCTTGTACTAAAAGTTCCACAATATTGCAATTTAAACAGAAACAAAAAAAAAACTGCAATTATATAGAATTGTTTTTTTTTATAATTTTAATACATACGAATTTTATAAACATTTCCTTGATTCATGTATTTTCTAATCAATTACAAGAAAATATAAAGTGTTTATTTAATAGACGTTATCAATAAATATCGGAAAAATAGTTTCATATATAAATAAGCCCAATGAGATGCTGCAAATTATAGTTACACATCTCTTTTTGAAATTCGAACACAACAACAGAAAAAGTATAGTTCAAAAACAATGAAAATTTGTAAGTAATGAAAATATTGAAATTTTTAAATTGTCCTTGTTAAAAAAAAATTGATTTCTTTTGAAGACTTTTTAATTTTATTTGTGTCCTTGCTGGGTGCACAAATTGATGCTCTACCCAAACGAAGTAATATAATAGTAGCCGATTGCAGTGAATATGCTGATGGTGAAACATTGCCGGACAGCAGTAGTTGTTCTCGATATTTTTTGTGTGTTAACGGTAAAGCTTTAAAGAGAACCTGTGCTCGTGGTTTGAACTATGACACCAAGACGGGTCTATGCAATAGAGCATTTCTAGTTGATTGCAGTCTTAATCGTTTGGGTGCTAACTGGGTAGATAATGTTAAGCCAGATTTTGAGTTGGACAATACCAGCGACAGTAATGATGAAGAGGAACCAATGACTGCCTTGCCTGCTGAAAATGTTGCAGCAGTAACAAGTGCACCACCATGTGATGGGACTACAACAACATGTACTACAACACCGTGTACCACCACAACTTGTACTACAACAACATGTTCAACTACAACTTGTTCCACAACGAAAACAACAACCTGTTCAACAACTAAAACTACAACATGTACTACAACAACCTGTTCTACAACAAAAACTACAACATGTACTACAACAACCTGTTCTACAACGAAAACCACAACTTGTACTACAACAACCTGTTCTACAACGAAAACTACTACATGCACAACAACAACCTGCTCAACAACTAAAACTACAACTTGTACTACAACAACCTGCTCAACAACTAAAACTACAACATGTACCACAACTAAGACAACAACCTGCTCCACTACTAAAACTACAACCTGTTCTACAACTAAAACTACAACCTGCTCCACAACTAAAACTACAACCTGTTCAACAACTAAAACTACAACCTGCTCCACAACAAAAACTACAACCTGTTCAACAACTAAAACTACAACCTGTTCTACAACCTGTTCCACAACAAAAACAACAACTTGCTCGACAACAAAAGCTCCCTGCACAACGCCAACAACAAAATGTTCCACAACTCCCCCGTGTACCACTACTCCACCTTGTACTACAACTCCATCCTGTACCACAACTGTCTGTCCGGTAGGAAATTCAGATCGTAATAATCAGAAAATTTTACAATATTATACGAACAGCAAAAGTTGTGCCTCATTACCCGATGGAACAGTACTCTTAGATCACAATCATTGCCGCCGTTACTATGTTTGCACTAATAAACGTGCCAAACGTCAAAGATGTCGTCGCACTGGCACCTGGTTCGATCAGGATACGCTCACTTGTCGCCCACGAAGTGAAGTGACTAATTGTGTCGCAGGACGTAGTTAAGTAAACAAATGATTCTTTTGCCCGGTATTTTATTCTGATAAATTTTTATCGTTATAATAAACGTCGTTGTCAAAAATGGCATTTCGTCGATGTTTTTGATAAATATTTGTCAGGTCTTGATACCGGGTCCAACGTTCTTGTCTCATAATTATGTATTAAATAAAATAATGAATTAAATGAATATAATGAAGTTTTAAAGAAAATATTTTTGTACTAAATTTTTAGGAAAAGGTCTTAAATTTGTATTTGATTTTCCCATAAAAATCTTAAATAATCTGATAAAATTTATTATGAATAATATCTAAAAGTTTCCTGTTACTATATTCTAGGTAACAGTATGTTATCTCACTCTATTATTTGAGGCCTTTTCACATTTTTACAGTAGCTCTTTTTCAGAAGCACTTCAATACTTGTGTAGTTTCAGGCAGTTTTGTTCAAGCACTTCAAAATTTCATTTAACATTTGAATTTAATTAAACTTATACCTTAAGTTAAAGTTTCATTTTAAATTGACAATTATAAGAATCTACTCACAAGTACCCATAACAAGCAATTTATTCGAAATCTGGGAGATATCTGGAGTTTCCTTATTTCATAAGGAATTCGAGAGCATATTAACTAAAAGATTTTGAGGCCGTTTGAATAGCTATAAAGCAGACACATATTGTGGAAGAAAGAAATTAAGCCGATTAAAACAAATTATTATATTCGGAAGTAGCAACGTCTGAACTATTTATGATTTGCAAGGTTGTAGCGATACAACATGTAGCACATTAATACGACTTCATATCTGATCATATATTCCGATATATCAAGATTAATCCAAGGAACTGTCCTCTCATATCTATGTATATACATTAGGGTAATACTAGTTATAAAATTTGTGAAAATTTCAAAACGGTGCTATGCAATCCACATAGAGTATAAAAAAATATGACGACAAAATTTGGGATCCGAGAATTTCTTTTAAACAACAACATTATGGTCATGAAATTGACTCAATCAAATCAAGTGATTAGATCTAAATATATCGTTGTAGAATGACGCTACCTATATCTCTGGTTAATACCCTTGTTTTGGGCCGAATAAGAAAGATTTGATCCACAAACAAGCTCTAACTAAAATGTATATAAATTTTGCTTCTAAGGGTCACAATTTGTTCGTTACTGTCTACTATCTGGACCCCCAGGGTTTTGTAACCTTCACGAAAGACTTGACCATCTTGGCATTTTTAAAATTCCGGCGAAAAGAGGTGCTACCAGTACCTGGTGATAATCAAATATATTCTCGGCCTTTCCTTGGAATGATTTGACATGGGGTCGAACCAGAAAACCACATTATCTGGTACCGCGGGAATCGGTAGCCCGCAGGGCAGAGTTTCGGACTTTGTCTTGTCCCGCTTATTGAAGAGGTCTCTTCTGGATGCACGTGGTGGCTATGGTTAAAACCCAAATTCGGAAGAGAATGTTAAAGAACTGATGCACGTTAGAGTCTATAATTCGGGATAAGTTCCGTTCACAGAGGAGTGACTGTGGTACTAAGCGTTGGAAATGAGTTGGTGTTAATTGTATATGATACAAGATGGATCACAGAACTTGCCCACCTGTATGTAAACTTATAGTGAGTGTGTCGCATGATGTTCTTTATGACTGTGTCAAATGAATGGGAAGTGTGCTGAGTTGAATGGTGATGGATTTAAGGTATCTTATGCAAATGGTATCATTGAATTTTCCATCCTTGCACAGGTATGTTCAGGGTTTTCTCTATTCATACCAGATTTATCACAGTGTGTTTTCTGTGTCTTTCGGCCTACCGAATACGTCTCCTGGTGCTGTTGCCAACTTTAAAGAGGCCATCTCATCTGCGTGGTTGTAAACGGAAGTGATGTGTTTTCATCTCGGAAGGGTCAGAAATCGTCAGAGATTAGATAGCTCGAGTACTTGAGTATGTACAGACAGAACCATGTACAAACATTTCCACCAGCGCATAAGATACGGACACGAACGGTGGTGAGTCGTCTAGTCAGCTCATCAAAAGTACCACCGTGAAATATGGCCAACATGGCAGCTGTTCACGTAGAGCACTTCAACATCTTGTCTACAATCTGGAGTAAAATTTCAGCCCAATCGGATAATGGGAACTCGTATCGGAAATCGATTTCATGGGCAAAATTGTCCATGTTATTATTTGTATATTATGCTTTTTCAGAATCCCCATACTCAATGTAATCTGATTATTGATAATATACCGATAGGACTAAAATCTTAACCACTCTTCTCAACTGCCATAAGACTTTTATAGATGTTCCTTTCGATCCTTAAGCTGAAGTTGGACTCTAAATATTTGAATTTCTATAACTTTCCGAAACAAATTCTTATTGTGTGGTAATTTCCAAGGCATTTAGGAATTGCCTAGGTTGGACTCTAAATATTTGACATTACCCAACTTTCCAAAACAAATTCAAGATGTACTACTGATATGCTAACTGGGCTGAGAAAATTATTTACATATGTATTGAGATAATCAAAAACTTTTAAATATGTAAAATATGTATGTATTTGGCATAACTGCTAATGGTCTTTCGAAGCATAAATCTTCGATTTCTCGGTAAATTTTTGAAAACATAAAAAAGTTGCTTTAAAAATTAAAGTTCATTAAAAAGTCGGCAACTTCAAAAAAATATTTCCAAGTGACGTCATTGTCTGCTACAAATTGATTGTCTGGTCCAAAAGGCCTTACCCTTATTTCATTTGTCTGGCAAATATCATGTAAATAAAAAACACGTGTTATATTTGATTGATTTTACTTGTAACATAAGATGCTTTAAAATTGAATAAGTATATTAAGCTTATCACAATGTTTGAAACAGTATAACACATTTCATATAAAATAACCATTTAATCCGTACTGGTATTAAAACATAGTTTTTAAATATTTACAAAATTTAAAAAGTTCTGCGATTTTGCTAACATCAAAACTATATTTCTTATAATAAGTTTAACATAATGTTCCGTTATTTAAGATGCTCGTTATTCGACCATATTCATAAGTTTCCTCAAACACTTCAACTTTAAGTCTAGACGCATCTTTAATTTCAGGGGCCTATAAAAACTTTCACTGTTATATGTCTGGGTGTTATTACATTGTTAGGGGTTACAACATTAAATTTGGACGGAAAATAAACAAAATGAAGCAATGTAAGTAAACTGATCAGATATTGTTTGTCAGATATCTTTTAATAATGTAAAATTAAATTTCTTAATTCAGATTATTTGATCGTGTTAGTTTTACTATTAAATTTAAATTTTGGTTACTGTAATGACTGTGAAGAAGATGGTTCCGTTATGATTGAAACTACGCCACGAACTGATGAACTAGACGAACTACCAACAGAGTCCACCACCGATGCAGATGAAGCAACAACTGAGTCCACCACAGTTGCAGATGAAGAAACAACTGAGTCCACCACATCTACAGATGAAGAAACAACTGAGTCCACTACAATTTCAGATGAAGCAACAACTGATTCCACCACAATATCAGATGAAGAAACGACCGAGTCCACCACAGTTGCAGATGAACCAACAACCGAATCCACTACAATTACAGAGGAAACAACTACAATTGCAACAACAACAACAGAACCAGTAACTGCCCCCAATAATCCATGCGAAACCACAACCACATGTGCTACAACCAAGAAATCAAGTGACACAAATACAATTCGATACTTTGTTAAATCATCTGATTGTGCGTCCTTAAAATCGGGAACTATTTTAATTGATGCCAATCATTGTCGTCGTTATTATTTGTGCGCTTCCGGCAAACCTAAACGTTATAGATGTCCTGTTGGTAATTGGTACGATCGACAAAAATTAACTTGTCGTTTGAGAACTGAAGTCAATAACTGCCCTGCTAATAGAAATTAATGTTCGTCGAATTATTTTAGTGTTTTAAAATGATTTTTAATGTTATTAAAAAGTTATAGCAAATTTAGATTTGCTAAAATTAAAAGAGTCTTGTGGTTTCATTTACCTAGTCTGGACGTATTAGACGTATCTGAATTAATAACTGATTTAGATAAAATTATTTGAAAAATAAGATCTTACTATCCCTTTTCCATTTCCATAAAAAAACGTAGGCAGATAGACTTTTAAAGCAATCATGGTGGACGCAAAAGGTCTCATATGATTCAAAAAGCTACAAAATATTTTCTTCATAGTTGTTACAAGGGTCAGACTAGGGTTCTATAAATCGACTTTCGAATAATCGAACAATCGATTTTTGTCAAAAAAAGTCGAAGTCGACTATTCCGTTCCAAAAATGTCGATAAGTCGACTATCGTCTGTGAAAAAAGTCGAAAAAAGTCGAAAAGTCTGAAAGTCGAATAAAGTTGAAAAAAGTTGAAGAAAGTCGAAAAAAGTCGAAAAGTCGAAAAAAGTTGAAAAAGTCGGAAAAAGTCGAAAACTCGAAAATTATAGAAACAAGTCAAAAATAGTCGAAAATTTTAAATAAGTGGAAAAAAAGTCAAAAACTCTAAAATAGTCGGAAAAACTCGAAAAAAGTCAAAAAATAGTAAAAAAAAGTTGAAAGAAGTCGAAAATAGTCAAAAAGTAGAAAAAATCGAAATGTCGGAAAAGGTCGAAAAAGGTGGATAAAGTCGAAAAAAGTCGAAAAAAAGTCGAAAAGTCGACTATTTATAAAATACTTATAGTCGAAAAGTCTAAAAGTCGACTTTTAATTAAATGAAAAAAGTCGAAAAATCGACTTTTCATAAAATGCAAAAAGTCGAAAGTCGACTTTTAATTAAATGAAAAAAGTCGAAAAGTCGACTTTTCGTTTCAAGTATAGAACCCTAGGTCAGACTAGCTTTTTAATCGGATCCATTCGTGTGGTTGGTGACAATCTCTGTAATACAAGTAAACTTTTTTAGAATCCAATATAGTCCTCAATCGTTTTAATTTACTCCAGATTTCATCGCTGGCCCTCTGCCCAATGAAATGAAAACAATAATATATAATTGCAAAATTAAACATGTATATGTTTGTTCGAGTATGTTAAAACATATTCCTTTCATACATAAATAAAAGTCATTTAAAAGGATTTTTATGTAGACATTTATTTATATCCCTGCTTTCACTTTTATTGCATTTCCATAAAAATAACGAAAAAGAAAGAAAAAATACAAAACCACCAAAATATGTTAACTGGCTGTTCAATAAAAGTTTTTCATGTACCCAATATACGTATATAGGGAAAGGGTGTAATTTTTAAGGGTTTACAATTATGAAATTAATAATTTTAAAGAAATAGCATCAATTTTAAAAACACTTAGCAATTCAAACAAATCGGTATATCGGAAGATGGAGGCAAATCTTAATAGAAATCACCAATAACTCCGATCGAAATTATATAAAATTTTTAAGTGAAAAATCGTGGTTTTAGGGACCAGTGTACGAAATTCCACATTCCATCAACATAAGGTTTTATTAATCTTTAGAAAAACACCCTTTATTTTGAATTGATTTTCGTAGACCATTTTTCTACCATAACTTTTTTATTCGCGCCATATTCATTACAAATATTGTACCAGTGTATTGAATTACAACTACGAATACAATTTGTTATTGAAATTAATGGTATTTTCATGAAATTTTGCAGATATACATACATACATACATACATACATACATACATACATACATATATTTTTAAAATACCCGAGAAAAAATAATAAATCAAATAAAATGTATATTTTTGCAGTCAGTTTGCTGATGGTAATATTTTAAGTGTTACACAAAGTAGTTTGAATATCTGTAATTGAAATCATATTTTTAATTAAGACAAGGAGATTTAAGTCTTGTTGTTCTGCATAATTATTGAGGCTGGAGAAGGTAGTTAAACGAAAATTTAAATTTAGGGCTCATATTTATGAAATATTTGATGAAGTATTTGTGGCACTTTTGGAATATAGTTAGACGAGAGTACATATTTTTTAAAAACAGAGCATATTAGTTACTCTATCGAATCCTAAAGTGCTCGGACCCAAATTGACACAAGTCTCAATTAAAGAGCCTATTCCGAAATTGCCCTTTTATAAATATGAACATGAGGACGATTTTTGCTTAGAGGAGTTATATGGGAGGGTCAATAATATTCCGAAAATTCATTCCACATGAATTTTGGAGCCAGTTGTGGGCGATAAAGTCATATTCTGAAGGAAGCTACTTAAGTTCGTTATTTAGTTAGTCAGTTAGTTAGTTAGTTAGTTAGTTAGTTAGTTAGTTAGTTAGTTAGTTAGTTAGTTTAGTTAGTTAGTTAGTTAGTTAGTTAGTTAGTTCGTTAGTTAGTTCGTTAGTTAGTTAGTTAGTTAGTTAGTTAGTTAGTTAGTAGTTAGTTAGTTAGTTAGTTAGTTAGTTAGTTAGTTAGTTGTTAGTTAGTTAGTTAGTTTTTAGTTCGTTAGTTATTGTTAGTTAGTTGTTTGTTAGTTAGTTCGTTAGTTAGTTAGTTAGTTAGTTCGTTCGTTTTTAGTTAGTTAGTTAGTTAGTTAGTTAGTTAGTTAGTTAGTTAGTTGTTAGTAGTTAGTTCGTTAGTTAGTTAGTTAGTTGTTTCGTTGTTAGTTAGTTAGTTCGTTAGTTAGTTAGTTCGTTAGTTAGTTTTTTAGTTAGTTTAGTTCGTTAGTTAGTTCGTTAGTTAGTTAGTTTGTCGTTCGTTTAGTTCGTTCGTTCGTTCGTTCGTTCGTTCGTTTTCGTTCGTTCGTTCGTTCGTTCGTTCGTTCGTTCGTTCGTTGTTCGTTCGTTCGTTCGTCGTTCGTTCGTTAGTTCGTTAGTCGTTCGTCGTTCGTTCGTTCGTTCGTTCGTTCGTTCGTTCGTTCGTTCGTTCGTTCGTTCGTTCGTTCGTTCGTTTCGTTCGTTCGTTCGTTCGTTCGTTCGTTCGTTCGTTCGTTCGTTCGTTCTTTCGTTCGTTCGTTCGTTCGTTAGTTCGTTCGTTTCGTTCGTTTCGTTCGTTCTTCGTTCGTTCGTTCGTTAGTTCGTTCGTTCGTTCGTTCGTTCTTCGTTCTCGTTCGTTCGTTCGTTCGTTCGTTCGTTCGTTCGTTCGTTCGTTCGTTCGTTCGTTCGTTTTCGTTCGTTCGTTCGTTCGTTCGTTCGTTCGTTCGCCGCGCCTTTTCGTGGCCCGCCCTTTCCCGCCCCCCCCTGCTTTCCGGCTGTTTGCTTTCCCTCTCCCTTTTTCTGTCTCTTGTCCTATTGCATACTACGTTGTATAACATACAACCATATGACACTGGTTCTATATTGAATACATGTATATTTCTAAATAATTATAAAAATGTTACAAAGTGTTTTTTAACTTTTTTTAATTAATCAAGTTTTTTAAGTTCATATTTATTGGTTATATTTTTAAAAACTTATTTATCAATATATTTATATTTTAAATATTAGTAATTTGTTAGTATTTTTAATAATTAATAATAAAAACCATTCATACCACTGTGTTTAATATTTATACAAGTTACAAAAATATGTATTTAAAATAAGGAAATTCCATTTACAATACTTACCATTATAATAGTTGGTGGAATAACCAGCTTTTCCGGCAACACGTCCAGCTGGCATTTTTGTGGATGTTGCGGTTTTTATTTAATATTATGTATGATTTTTTTTTTCTTTCGTAGAATACTGTAATAACTTTTGTGGAAAGAAAACTTTATCCTTTGGTCAGGAATTATTTTGTAAAACCGAACAAAATAATATTGAAGTAAAATATAATGAGAATCATTAGCAAAAAAGCTTTAACAATTTTTTACGTCTTTTTGTAATTTGGTCCTTCCGTTTCTGCACAAAGGAAAATTTAAAAGTTCTTCTTCTTCGTTTCTTTGTTAATCACTAAAAAAGCATAAAATCCATTTCACCTTGTGTTTGCTTTTTTTTAAGTTTTATTTAGTAAAATATAGTTTAGCTTATATATGCAGAAGTTTGTTTTTAATGATTTTGCTTTAATCTTTTTAAATTTGTATGTATAGAAATTTCCTTTTTTGGTTTTAACTTATAAATCGTATACAAATTCTTTAACATTTATTATTTATTCGTTGTGTTGTTGCCGCTAATGCTATCAAATCTATTGCTGTTGTCTACAATACTGTTTACAGGATAATAGTTGATTTCATTAAATATGCCCGCCATTTTGGCGTCTTGATTCCTTTAGTTATCATCGATTAAAAACTATTCAATGTTGATTTGTCTTCTAGAATCCTAAAAATAAACAAAATATCCATAAAAGAAAAAATAATAGTAATTGTATTTTTTTGAAATGTCTATTTGTATTATAAATTTGTGTAAATTAAGTTAAAAGCTTTAAATAGACTAGACAATTTATGAAATCTTCAAATTTCGTGATAACAATAAAGGCATTAAATGAAGTCTGTGGTTAATAGCGGTTTTATTCAATTATGACGAAAAAGATATGAGATAATCAAGATATACACCCCGAAATTAAATAAGATACAACCCGAAATTAACTAACTAACTAACTAACTAACTAACTAACTAACTAACTAACTAACTAACTACTACTAACTAACTAACTAACTAACTAACTAACTAACTAACTAACTAACTAACTAACTAACTACTAACTAACTAACTACTAACTAACTAACTAACTAACTAACTAACTAACTAACTAACTAACTAACTAACTAACTACTAACTAACTAACTAACTAACTAACTAACTAACTAACTAACTAACTAACTAACTAACTAACTAACTACTAACTAACTAACTAACTAACTAACTAACTAACTAACTAACTAACTAACTAACTAACTAACTAACTAACTAACTAACTAACTAACTAACTAACTAACTACTAACTAACTAACTAACTACTAACTAACTAACTAACTAACTAACTAACTAACTAACTAACTAACTAACTAACTAACTAACTAACTAACTAACTAACTAACTAACTAACTACTAACTAACTAACTAACTAACTAACTAACTACTAACTAACTAACTAACTAACTAACTAACTAACTAACTAACTAACTAACTAACTAACTAACTAACTAACTAACTAACTAACTAACTAACTAACTAACTAACTAACTAACTAACTAACTAACTAACTAACTACTAACTAACTAACTAACTAACTAACTAACTAACTAACTACTAACTAACTAACTACTAACTAACTAACTAACTAACTAACTAACTAACTAACTAACTAACTAACTAACTAACTAACTAACTACTAACTAACTAACTACTAACTAACTAACTAACTAACTAACTAACTAACTAACTAACTAACTAACTAACTAACTAACTAACTAACTACTAACTAACTAACTAACTAACTACTAACTACTAACTAACTAACTAACTACTACTAACTAACTAACTAACTAACTAACTAACTAACTAACTAACTAACTAACTAACTAACTAACTAACTAACTAACTAACTAACTAACTAACTAACTAACTAACTACTAACTACTAACTAACTAACTAACTAACTAACTAACTAACTAACTAACTAACTAACTAACTAACTAACTAACTAACTAACTAACTAACTAACTAACTAACTAACTAACTAACTAACTAACTAACTAACTAACTAACTAACTAACTAACTAACTAACTAACTAACTAACTAACTAACTAACTAACTAACTAACTAACTAACTAACTAACTAACTAACTAACTAACTAACTAACTACTAACTAACTAACTAACTAACTAACTAACTAACTAACTAACTAACTAACTAACTAACTACTAACTAACTAACTAACTAACTAACTAACTAACTAACTAACTAACTAACTAACTACTAACTAACTAACTAACTAACTAACTAACTAACTAACTAACTAACTAACTAACTAACTAACTAACTAACTAACTAACTAACTAACTAACTAACTACTAACTAACTAACTAACTAACTAAACTAACTAACTAACTAACTACTAACTAACTAACTAACTAACTAACTAACTAACTAACTAACTAACTAACTAACTAACTAACTAACTAACTAACTAACTACTAACTAACTAACTAACTACTACTAACTAACTACTAACTAACTAACTAACTAACTAACTACTAACTAACTAACTAACTAACTAACTAACTAACTAACTAACTAACTACTAACTAACTAACTAACTAACTAACTAACTAACTAACTAACTAACTAACTAACTAACTAACTACTAACTAACTAACTAACTAACTAACTAACTAACTAACTAACGAACTAACTAACTAACTAACTAACTAACTAACTAACTAACTAACTAACTAACTAACTAACTAACTAACTAACTAACTAACTAACTAACTAACTAACTAACTAACTAACTAACTAACTAACTAACTAACTAAACTACTAACTAACTAACTAACTAACTATACAACAGAACGATGCAGTCAATGTTTTGTTTTTTTAAGTGGATTTTATAAACACTTTCGAAATTCTGATTCTTTTAAATTTAAATAATATAAATAATTTTCATTTAAGGTAAATATATTCCATGTTTTCAATGGAGTTGCTATCTGTAGCAGTTCCAAAAGTCTCGTTTCGGCTTATTATTTATTCCCCCTTAAAGCCCATCGCAAAAACAATCACCACACAAAATCTGGCATTACCATTTTTGTCTTATTAGACTTTGTGCCAGTTTGTCAACTTGGCATCATTCTATTAGTGAAATGTCATTGTCAGCTGTTCACACACACCGGTATTTCTGTTGTTGCTTTGTGTGTGCAATGCAATGAGAGTGAGTGGCAAAAACAATAAACTTAAAAACATACCAAAGTGAAGAATAGTGAAAGAAAAAGTGCTTTGAAAAAAACATAAACAAATCTATTTCTAAACAAAAAAAATCTTAAAAAATACGAATAATATGTGTGATAAAGCGAATGTTTGTTGCAGTAAGTTGCATAATTTAATTAATTAACAACTAATAAATTATTTAAAAAGATTCGAACAGACAAATCACGGCAAAAGCAGAAAACATGTGCTTGTTAAGTGAAGCTTTCTAGTAATTTAGTAATTCCCTTCTGCACTTGTGTGAACATTTAATTAATAAATTTTATTTAAAATTGTTTATCAAAGTATTTTTTTGTATTTTTCTTTTTATTTAACAAATAAACTACGCAAATAATGATAAAGAAACGAGCCAAATTATTAAAATTTCAAATTTACAGGCGACAGCAGCTGCTTTAGATAAGACAAAAATGGGGAAATTGTTTGTTGTTGTTGTTTTTGGTAGACATTTCTTTTTAATATTTTAAAAAATACAAATAATAACTGTAAAATAAATAAATGTAGCAACAACAAATCTGTTGCATTTAAATTGTTTTATTTTTGTATTTTTCCCTTTTTTAAGTTTTTGTACTTTTATTTTTAGAAAACAAATGACTCACGAGTCTGAAGTAGGAAAAACCAAAACAGCAGCAACAGCAACAGACAGTTTATTTACAGTTTTTTGTTATTGTAAGAGGGTTAGGAATAATGTAGGTAGAATCGAACAACAAAAACAATTTATCCAGCTAAAGCAATATGATTTGGAGAAGAACAGTGCAAAATATCTATTGGTACTATTAAACGTTTGTTTGGGAGTTTTAAGTTGTTTATACATTTTAGCAGACGACAGATTTGTAAAATAATCCCGCAAAATTATTTGGTACTAAAAAGGTACCCCATTGTTAAGTATTGTATAGATGGGACTGGATCTTTTTATATTAGATTATTTTGTAAACAGAGAATGTCCAAGTTGAATAGTTCCTACTAGGGTTCTATAAATCGACTTACGAATAATCGAACAATCGACTTTTTGTCGAAAAAAGTCGAAAAGTCGAAGTCGACTATTTTGTTCCAAAAAAGTCGATAACTTGACTATCGTCTATGAAAAAAGTCGAAAAGTCGACTTTGTAAATAAAAGTCGAAAAGTCGGAAAGTCGAAAAAAATCGAAAAGTCGAAAAGTCGAAAAAAGTCGATAAGTCGAAAAAAGTCGAAAAGTCGAAAAAAGTCGAAAAGTTGGAAAAAGTCGAAAAGTCGGAAAAAGTCGAAAAGTCGAAAAAAGTCGAAAATAGTCGAAAATTTTAAAAAAGTGGAAAAGAGGTCAAAAACTCTAAAATAGTCGGAAAAACTCGAAAAAAGTAAAAAATTATCGAAAAAAGTCGAAAAAAAGTCGAAAATAGTCAAAAAGTCGTAAAAAATCGAAAAGTCGGAAAAAGTCGGAAAAAGTCGAAAAAAGTCGAAAAAAGTCGAAAAAGTCGAAAAAAGTCGAAAAGTCGAAAAAAGTCGGAAAAAGTCGAAAAAAGTCGGAAAAAGTCGAAAAGTCGACTTTTAAATAAATGAAAAAGGTCGAAAAGTCGAAAAATCGAAAAAACGACTTTTCATAAAATGGAAAAAGTCGAAAGGTCGAAAAGTCGACTTTTAACTAAATGCAAAAAGTCGAAAAGTCGACTTTTCGTTTCAACTATAGAACCCTAGTTCCTACTGATTTAATTGTCTATTGAACTAATTAGATTTGCAATTCCATCATAGACATTAAAAAAGTACCTGAAATTGCCACTGTTGTTCTGCTATTACCCCCCAAATAGTACTATTGAAACCATTTGTCCATCCCTGTTTAATACTGCCGTTGTTTTAAAACTTAAATAAGAAAAATAAATAAGAATCACAACAACAATAAATAAATTTATACTTAAACTAACGATTGTTGGCGGCATTAGTTTGTTTCTTAGAGGAGGGAAGTGGCATTGATAGATTTAGTAAACTAATAAAACAATTTTTTTTTAACAATCAGTTTATAATACAAAATTAATGACTAATACTTAATGGAATATTTCTATAAATAGTTTAAGCAGATATTAATATGTATATTCTTGGAATTAAATACTTAAAAGGAAATGTTCAGTATACAAATTTGTAACATAAATTTCTTTACCTAGTTATTTTATTTAAATAATTTATTTTTGTCTGAGATGGAGTCTAGTCTGAACTATAGTCTTATTTTGGATTTCTAGTATGCACAATGGCATGATATATTGTTATCTCTGATCTATAATATGGGCTATAGACTGATCTATAGTTTGGACTATAGATTGATTTATAATCTGGACTATAGACTGATCTATTATCTGGACTATAGACTGATCTATATTCTGAGCTATAGACTGATCTATAGTCTGTAGTCTGGACCATAGACTGATCTATAGTCTGGACAAGAGATTGATCTATAACCTGGACTACAGACTGATCTATAGTATGGACTATATACTGATATATAGTCTGGACTCTAGACTGATTTATATAGACTGATCTATATTCTTAACTATAGACTGATCTATAGTCTGTAGTCTGGACCGTAGACTAATCTATAGTATAAACTATATACTGATCTGTAGTCTAGACTATATATTGAACTATAGTCTGGCCTATAGACTGATCTATAGTGAGGACCGAATTATAATCTGGACTATAGACTGATCTATAATCTGGACTATAGACTGATCTATATTCTGAACTATAAACTGATCTATAGTCTGTAGTCTGGACCATAGACTGATCTATAGTCTGGACAAGAGATTGATCTATAACCTGGACTACAGACTGATCTATAGTATGGACTATATACTGATATACATATAGTCTGGACTATAGACTGATTTATATAGACTGATCTATATAGACTGATCTATAGTCTGTAGTCTGGACCATAGACTAATCTATAGTATAAACTATATACTGATCTGTAGTCTAGACTATATATTGAACTATAGTCTGGCCTATAGGCTGATCTATAGTGTGGACCGAACTATAGTCTCCAATATAGATTGAACTATAGTGCTCACTATAGATTGAAGTATATTCTGGACTATATACCTATCTATCGTCTCGACTATAGATTGATCTATACTCAAGACTATAGGCTTATCTATACTCAGGACTATAGACTGATCTATACCCCGGAGTATAGATGTATCTATAGTCTAGATCAGACAATTAACTGATTTAAAGACTGGACTATATACTGCTCTATAGTCTGGACTATAGACTGATCTATAGTTTCTACAATAGACTGATCTAAAGTCTAGTGAGGCCTATAATCTTATCTTTACAATCTGGACTATGGATCCCTAGCCTGCACTATATACTAATCTATAGTCTGGATTATATAATCTTATCTATAGTCATTACAATGGACTAATCTGTAACCTGAACTATAGATCGACCTATGTATAGTCGGGCCTAAAGACTTATCTTTACAATAGTTTGATCTATAATCTGACCCCTAATCTATTTGAACTATAGTTAGCATTATGGTAGTATGTAGTCCGCTCTACAATATGAATTAAAATATTCTGTATAGTTAATATTCTCTAATACATACAGCATGGTCTCATATCTCTTACTTATCCATTAAAATCTCACATTTTTACCAAATAAAGTCATAAATATCATTATCAATATACATAATTATGTTGTTTATCACAAAATATGATGACAAATTTGTTTAATAATGGCCTGAGATACAGTTGCTACTACGTTACCAAAATACTCCTAGAGTTCAACAAATATTTCACAAAATTCATTGTCATTTACAAAAAATAATCACACAAATTAAGAGAACAACGAACGACTACGAGATAACTAAAATATCATGTTACTAAAAATATTAAACATGAGTTTCATTTAGAATCTTAAGAGGCCATTAAAAGCATTTTTATAAAATACAGCTAAAACACAACATCTATAATAAATAACTGAAGATATCTTAACTACAATAAAATCATTCTAATCATCGTCGTCATCATCATCATCATCATCCACTCAGTAGCATTTGAAAGTATTTATTTACAATCAATCTCCTTGATTATTTCTGGCGTATTCATGACAAGACAAAAAAGCTATTTATTGGTTTTAAAAATAAAAAAGGAGGAAATGATACAAATGTTTAAAAAATGCTTTTTTTATGAGGTAGTGACGAATGTTATAAATCCTACAAAATTTTGCTAATATCCAGTTGTTTTTTGGGGGATTGACTTAATAAAGTAGGGATTTTAAGTGACGTAATAAATAGTCAAGTTAGTTTATTTTACTTGATTTTAAATTAAAATTTCAAAGACTCTCGCAATTATATTAACTAAGTCCTAAATTTTTTCACTGTTCTTCTTAAATATCTCAGATTTTTGCTTTAAACATTTTAAAAATCAAACCAATTCCTATTTGCTTGGAAGTGGGTGTGTGTGTCTGTTTGTTTCCTCGTAAATCTTTACTACTGTTTAAATTTAATGACTCCATCAACTGCGTATAATAAGGACATGTTCAGAGGATGAAAAAAATGTATGTCACGTAAAAAATTTTGCTGATGGCTGTATATGAAAAGCTGCTGATTTTTTTTTAGTGCACTTTAAAAATACTCATAAAAAGGTAATTGTGGTCTATAAAAATTCACAATTTTTTTCCAAAAATAAAAAGACATCACATGAAATGATGATTTTCGTTTAATCATGCCAGCAGTAAAAGGGGTCAATAAAATTTTAAGGTCAGCGGAAAACTTTCAAGTTTTAATGATAGACATTTATTTAATTTTTATTGAAGATGTTTGAGGAGGAAAATATTAAAGATTTATGGCAAATTTTTATAATGGTTAATAGTAGCAATAAATTTAATGAAAAATAGCTTAATTTTTCAGTACAAATATTTTAGATTTATTAGTTAGGTGTTATAAATTTGATAGAAATCCTTGAAAAAGAAAGCCTTTTTGGTAATTGTTTTAATAAGTTTAGTCTGGTTAATAGTTTGAACTATGGTCTGTGCTGTAATTTAACAATAGTCTGAAATATTGTCTAGTCTATTATCTAGTATCTAGTCTAGTTTATAGCCTAGTCATAGCCTAGTCTATAGTCGAGTCTATAG